CCCCCTACCAACAAAAGCTTGTTCATGTAAGAGTGTCAACCACTTTCAACTACAATCGCTGTTTATTTTCTTCAGCACGTCAGGAATATTCACTGGTCCATTGAGAATCCAAAACATTTTGTTGATGCCAATTCTGGGAAGGAATTTGATGGTAAATATTTCTACTTTACAACTCTATGTGTAACAAAGTAGATATGGATATGTGTAATAAAGTAGGGTGCATTACAGCACATTGGGTTAACTCTTCATTGTATATTTTTCCAGCTATAATTGAGCATGTTCGAGACGGGTGCACAGTGAGGGCATTTCTGCTTCCTGATTTCTATCATGTCACTGTGATGATGACGGGGATAAAGGTATTGTCAGTCGATAACGTTCAAACTTGTTCATTTTGCATCTTTCTGGCTCTATTCCTTATTTAAAAATGCTAGATGCGCAACCAGGATTCATAACAAAGTTTCTGAAACGTTCTTTCGACTGCCAGTCTGCAGTCTTCGACAGGTAAAGTGATACTAAATATAAAACTATTCTACGGATATAGCTACTACTGTACAACAGTGGTTTACAATTATATGTCATTGTAATTGTAAGCCACTGTCCTAGTAGCTATATCTGTAGAATAGTTTTATATTTAGTATCACTTTACCTGTCGAAGACTGCAGACTTGCAGTCGAAAGCTCGGGTTTAAAACAAATTTATGACCAGAGAACGTTTCAGAAACTTTCTTTATTCCTTACCAAATTTCTTGCAGACTCCAATGTTTAAACGAGATGGACCCACTGAAATAGCAGAACCTTTTGCTGAAGAGGTAAGCGCTGCTTCTGTTCTTAGGAGATTATTTGTTGTTAGAACTTGTTTTAGGAATTTGTTTGAACTTACGTACATTGTAGCTGTTAAGGGCGCTTGTTTCCATGTGCTAACACAATGAACAAACTAATTCATTGACAAGCCACAACCTAACCCCCTACATAAGTCCAGCACCAGCCTAAGAAAATCTGCTTGACCATACATTTTCTACTTTTTGAATAGCGATTTGCGGTCGATTTCTTGAAACGATTTAATTGATTTCTTGAAACGATTTAATTGATTTGTGAGCTCACAGGGAAAATACTCAGAATGCTTTAGTTAATTAAATATCATGTTTAAATATGTAAACATGTCAACTAAGGTTGTTGAACATCCATATTTTCAAATTTACTGTACTTTAACAAGCATAGTTACTGTGTATTGCGCTACAGCAACTGTCCAGTCACACATACCTGTATGTGATGAAAAGCCGATATAAAGTTTATAAACAAAAGATAATGTAAAACGTAACAGAACGGCGAACATGTAGAATCAGCCATTTCAAATAATGGTAATGTTGGGATAGTAGCATTGCAGAGTGGGCAGTAAGGCTCCCTCATGCACCACCCCATGGAAAACCTGCAAGGATTGCAGGCAGATGAGGCTAGATCCTCCCCTGTGACAAGCTGACTCGATGACAATCTGCTGAGTTAACTTCAGGCTACCTTTGATCATGTTTATTTGTTATCTTTGCAGGCAAGATTTTTCACAGAGTCAAGGTTATTGCAACGAGAAGTAAAGATACGTTTAGATGGTATGTAGCTTTGATATTAGAATCCTCTCCTCCTTATTGCAAACTGTACTGATGTAGTGATGTTTCAACCGCACAACGTGTATATTGATTTGTAAATTTGTTTTTTACAGGAGTATCAAACGCAAATTTTCTTGGAACTATAATACATCCTGTAAGTTAAGATGAAAATATTTTCAGACTCTTCAAACACATTTCGATTAACGTTTTCATTTGTATAATACTTTTGATTGTGGAAACACCACGTAAATTTATTATTGCAAAGCTTTCGATCCGTAAGCCCGGATCTTCATCAGTGCTAATAATATTTTGTTCGTGTTTCCACAAACAAAAGTATTGTACTATTGTATGTTTTATCACCATGCAAACCTACAAAGAACTTGTTTTCATTTGTGTTTGATCCTGTGACATTTTCAAGAAACTCTATTGGGAACCACTAGAAACTTTAACGGTTACAGTGCTTTATTATACCATGGATAATAAAATAAATTTATTAATATAATATAAAAAAATAATTTATTTTATTATCCATGATTATACTTGCCTTCGAAGTAATAAAGAAATCTTTGCCTACCAAACCTGGAACAAATTTCATGAAAAGCAGTCTCTCAAGAAACTGATAAACGCACATCTTACTGATGAAAACATTTTATCATTACAGGCTGGCAGTATATCTCAGTTGTTACTACGTGAAGGATTTGCTCGCTGTGTTGACTGGAGTATGTCAGCATTACCTTCTGGTCATGATGTCTACAGAAGTGCTGAAAGGTCAGTCTTGAAAATGTGTACTAGATTACTCAAAACTGTCCTGCCATAAATTAAAAACGAACGTTATGAACGCGAACGCTGATGAAAGCGAACGCAAATTGAATGGGCGCGAATGAAAGTGAACGCAAATCAAAGTGAACGCAAATCAAAGTGAACGCAAATCAAAGTGAACGCAAACGAAAAACGGAACGCAAGTGAAAGTGAACGCAAATGAAATCGAACGCTTACGAAAGCGAACGCGCTAGTGAAGGCGACACTATTAACGAAGGCGAATTGTTTATTTTGATTTGATTAGGTTGGCAAAGCAAATGAAGAAACGGATCTGGAAAGATTATGAACCATCAACACCAAGTGTTGCCATTGATAATAAAGAATATACGGGCAAGGTATGGGAATATCTTTATAATGAATAATACATGCATTATGATTATTCATCAAGGATAAGTCATGACTTTATTTATGTCTGCCGCAAGAACTCCTAAGAACAAGCTTTCAAACTTCAGGCCTTAAAATATCGCTCCGTCAGGACAATGCCCGACCCATTCGTGAAATTGTCCGAGGTAGAGAGGACCGGACATTCTGTCCAAGCTAAGGCTAAAGCCCTGGGCAAACTAGGAAACATTGTTGCGGAAACATTTGTGATTCTCGATATTTCCTCAAATGTTTCCATGTTTGCCCACCCGTGGAAACATTGTTGCAGAAACAAAATTTGCTTCCCGAGAAGCAAAAATGTTTCCTAGCGAATTCAGAAACATTTGATGTTTCCATATGTTTCTCACTAATGTTTCCTAGTGTTTGCCCACTCTGGGAAACATGGCGAAACATTGGCAGGAAACAATGTTTCCGCAACAATGTTTCCTAGTTTGCCCAGGACTTAAGTGAAACTGAGGTTTATTGTTTGTCCGACCCGAGTGAATTGGTGTTCGACCTATAACTGTAACTTTGTCCAACGTCAATCAAAATGTATATCCTAGTTCAGGACTAGAGGTTCGTATGTTAAATGGAGAATCAGAATAATGTATAAAAAGTGAACTGGAAATGTGTAATCAAGTGCGGGGTTTTCACCGTGAGGTATTCATTGCTAAGACATTCCAAATTGTGCTGATATTATAATTTGTGCCTGCGTTCATACTTACTTCCAAGCCAAACTGAACTTAAATTAAATTCATCATCGAACATTTTATCGGACGGTTTTCTGACCGATATTTTAGGGTCTGAATAGTTTCACCTGAAACCCACAATCATTACGTGTCCCTCTGTAGGTAACAGAAGTGATAAACGCTGACGCATTGGTTGTGAAATCCCCGGATGGAAAGAGTAAAAAATTATTCCTCTCAAGTTTAAGACCACCGAGGTTGGCAGCAAGAGAAGATGGCAGTCAGGTAACCATGTATTTAAAGGAAATTGGCAATAAAAAATTAGTTTGTCTCATTCGAAAGAACTCTTAAAATTATATATTAAACTCCATTACCGATTTGTCATTAAATTGTTCTCGAAATATTTAGACCGAAATTAATGAACCGCCATCTTGGGCTAATTCTTGACCTCATTAAGATGGTTTTGATGATAAAACTACTCTAAAAGTATAACCATCCAAAATTGACCGAGTATATAACCTTCAAACAGTACACTCATTAATAATTCATAAGCTTATTGGTAAATCATGTCAACCATAATATGTCACGTGCAGTGGCTTTAAACCTGATAAAACACTCCTAATTAGTATTCTTTATATAAAGAATACTAATAAGGCAGTATCTATTGTAGTTGTGTCTCATGAGTATTCTTTATATAAAGAAGGCAGTATATCTATTGAATTTGTAGTCGTGTTTGAAGCCTTGCGCGCTCGTGTCTTTAAACCTAATAAAACACTCCTGCTCGTTTATTAAACAGTACATCCAAAATTGTTTGAAATGTTTTTAAACGAAGTTTTGGTCCCATATCGATCCCTTAAGCCTGGTTCACACTTGTCGTAATTCATCGGCGATCTATTGTATTCGTTTCCGACAGGCAAAGCATTTTACACACCAATGACCACGGACAATAGAAATCCTCGATTCTTACGACCAGTGTGAACCAGGCATCACTCTCAAGATAAAAAATTAGCGTGATCCCTCTCTTGACGTAACATGCATATCCTCAATAATCCAAGATGGCGAACAGCTCACTTATTTCAGTGGAATTATTTTGAAAACTAAGCAAAATATAAACAATCTGTATATAATATAGAGTTTAATATATAGTTTTAAGAGTTCTTTCGAATGAACTAAACTATTTTTTATTGCCAATGTCCTTTAACGTAAATTTTCCCGCATTTGTTACAAATTAGTTTCTTCCTTAAATATCCACGTCACGCTTGTTTTCCAGGAACAATCCACTGGCAACAGACGAACGCGGCCGCTCTATGATGTCCCTTACATGTTTGAAGCTCGAGAATTTATGAGAAAAAAATTGATCGGAAAGAAGGTACTACAACTGTGTGGTTTAAACGATGAAACAAACGCTATCATACTGTAAGCACAAAATATTCTCGTGTGAATCACGTGAAATGCATGGTTTGAAATGAGACTTTTACAATCACACACGTAAAAACGCACAAGTTGTTACAGGTCTGCAAACAAGTTGTTTCAAATCTGTTTACAAGCTGTCGACATGTTGTGTTCGCATTGCTTGTTCCTAGTTGTTGTAACAAGTTTGGATCAAGTTGTTAACAACTTGTAACAAGCTTGATGGCATTATCAGACTTGCTGCAAGGTCGTTCTACTTCTAACAAGTCTGATACAGTCATGGTATAACAAGAATGTTGCAAAGTTGACCACACAAGTTTGTAACAATAGTATTATAATGTCATGACTGTATCGGACTTCTTGGAGCAACCTTGCAACAACCTTGCAACAAGTCTGATAATATCAACAAGGTCGTTACAAGGTGTTAACAGCTTGTTCTAAACTTGTTGACAACTTGGGACAAGCAGTGCGAACACAACTTGTTGACAGCTTGTTGTCAGACTTGCTACAAGACGCGAGATTTTGGAAGCTAGAAGGCTGAGAGATTAATTCTATGAAATTTTCCCCCTAGGTAAATATCTGTGTTGACTATATCAAACCTCCAAGTGATGGCTATCCTGAGAAGACCTGCGCTACTGTTACCATAGGAACGATAAATGTCGCTGAAGCTTTGATTAGTAAAGGTACAGTATTATTTGTTCTTTTCTTAAATGTCCAACAGCAATAACGACTGACAACCTTATAGCTATACACAAGTATAGAAGCACAGTCATCAATATTACGGTCTGCATGTTTATCATTTATAGACCCGAAGCGAGGGGGATTCATTATCAATTGTAGACCCGGAGCGAGGAGGATTCGCCGAAATGTTACCCTCCGTGATGATATTTCCCTCGGGGTAATACTTCGGGTAATATTTCGTGTAATATTTCGACGAATCTCCCTCGCTCCAGATCTATAAATGATTACTCTTACCTGATTACAAACTCAGCCTAGATTATTTTATCTTATTTTATCTTTGCGCAAAAATTGTGATATTATTTTCTTAACTGTGTATCCCATTGAACTATAAATAAACTGGAAGGCTAACTCAGGGGGGGATTGAAGCCAGTGCATTTAAGTTTTTTCTGAGTTATGAGCAGAAATACTCAACACTGAACGTTGGGCTATATATCAAATTGAAGCTATTGAAAAACGCTATTTGGTGTAGAAATTTCAAGATTTTAGCTAAAAGGGAAGTATTGAAAAAGTACAAACATAATTACCGATAATTTGCCGTTTTGCAGTTGTTTTTGTATTTTTTAAATATTTTTCTTTTCGCTGAAGTCTTGAAATTTCCACACCGAATAGCAATTTTCAATAGGGCCAAAAAAAAAAAATATGTGTGTTTCCGGTTTCCCGACCCTACCTAACTGTTGGACGTCGAAATCCCGACCCTAAACTTTTTTATTGGATCGTGCTTGTAAGTGTTTCCACTTAGAGGAAAAAGTTTGTGGAAAATTGAAATTTGAGGCAATATTAAGGAAATCTATCTTTGGATGTGGAAGCACTGACTAAACAAAATGGCGTCCGCTTATTCGGAAAATTAAAAAAAAAGTTTAAAAAAAAAAGTTAAAACCGACCTACCCTACCTAAGTTTTTATAAGAAGAAACCGGAAACCCACATATTTTTTTTTTGGCCTAGCTTCAATTTGATATATAGCCCGACGTTTGGGGTCAAGTATTTCTGCTCATAACTCAGAAAAACTATTTTGGCTTCATCAAATCATAGGCCTTCATCATAGCAGTTAGCCGTCCAGTTTATTTATAGTTCAATGGGCTCAGCACGCTGGTCATATTCAGCAAATTTTCTCCCACGACCGCAGGCTCATATTGTCAGTGGACTTTCGGTGTAAAATTGAAACTTTTGCATTTTTCAGAGAACTGGCCACTTTCTGTAAGATGTCCGCTGTCAATACGCACCCGCACGAGTGGGAGAAATTTTGCAAAATTTGACCAACGTGCAGCCCCCCAAGTCAACATAAAATTTCAACAAGGGGGCTCAGCCCCCCTGAGCCCTCGCACCAGTACACCACTTGGCCTATCTTCTAAGCAAGGAATTTTTTTTTTTGCACTATGCATGGAAAGATTTTTTTTTCTTAATTTTTTTCTGGGAATAAATTTTTTTTTGGTTTTGCCCCCCC